CGCTCTCTTTTCCGCCATACCCCCAAAAAAGAAAACCATTAAAAAAGTAGAAGCAAAAAAAAAGAGCTAGGAAACGATACTGTAGAAATCTGTCACAAGAAGGCGGTAAACAGAAATAACAAAGTGTGCGAGATAACAAGTGTCAGGAGACTGGAAGAACGTTCTGTCTCTGTAATGCTGAGGGAAAACATGCCTTAACAACTCTGGCTTTAAGCAATAGAAAACGATTACAAGTTCAAAACTTTTAACGAAATTCTACCCCCGTAATGCTCAGAGAAAACATACATTGACAGCACTGGCTCTAAGCAATAGAAAACGAAAACAAGTTCAAAGCTCTTTACGAAATTCCCGGATATCTTGCAGCTTCTCCAATTGATTGACGGCCTTTTGTTCTTTGCAGTGACACTAACGGTCATACTTCAATTGCCACATTACGCTGGAGGTGCACACATATATCTGCACATTGCTAAAAACGCACACACTGATAATCTCACACGCAGAAACATGTTAAATATGCGAGTATACACATATACAAGAATACATTTTTTAAAAATCTTTAAGCCAGTGATTTGCCCATACACCTACATGCATACAAACGCACAGACATGAAACATTCAAATACGCACATGTATTCACACACTCACACGGACACGCATGTACGCACACATGCACACACGCATGCACGCACCCACGCACGCACGCACGCACGCTCAGAAACACGTACGCATGCCCACCCAGACACCCTCGAATTCTTTCGCATACTCATTCATTGAGGTGAGGCTTCAACCTTAATACCTTATACAGACCGCTTCCACATTACACCAGAAAAACAAACAATGTATCACTGTTACCAATAAAAAACAAAACTGATCAGAACTTGTAAACAAGCTTTCCTAACTTGACACTTACTAATAACGTTACCTGTCGCCATTATTTTCACAGTTTGGCACGTGCCCCACTGACTGAATCCTCGAGTGGAACGCCTACACAGAGCAAACAACTAATAAAGTAGGCAAGCTTTCTTCTTCTCCATCACAGAACACTTAAAGTCCGGTATCTATCATATTATTCAGCTGGGCCGTCCCGCTCAGTTCTTCTGTTGGCCGTACAGCTTCTCTTGTAGTTTCAATATAAGAGGCAAGCTTCTACCAAAGTTTTAAATAACGTTAATAACTTTCGATAGAATTTGCCAGCCAAGAGGCTGAGAACTTTGCTGGTGCGCTTTTTATGGGTGCATTTTGTTTTTCATTACGTCAGCACATGCGGCAGTCTCTTGTTCCTTAATTTAAAAAAAAATTACACTTGACTTACGGTAATTGACTTAATTGTTATGAAGTGGTTCTGGCGGTCTAGAGGTACGATGTTCGCCTTTCATTCATTAGGTCCCTGGTTCGAAACCGAACTATGAAAGATTTTTTTATTCTCTAAAATGTTCCCCTTTCAACCCCTTTCCTGCTCTCTGACCATGTTCTGTCGTCTGCTTTCGTCTCCACTTTCTGCCC